CATGTTATTCAAAAGTCAATGCAGGCTTGACGCTCAAAAACTATCTCTTCTATTACCTAAGGATACACTTACAGGGAGGGTTTGTCTAGTCAATAACCCTACCAATAATAATCGTGCTATAAGAACCATGTTCCAAAGAGAAATAACAACAATACCCAATGTCATTTTTCACTGGAGTATGTTTGTGGATGATATACCATGGAAGAAGGTCTGGCTTTTGTCTAATAGATATTTAGTAACAAACAAAGTAAAAGAAGTATCCTTCAAACTTATTCATAAGTTTTATCCTTCAAAATGTTACATTAAAAACAGATTTAAGAAAGAAATTGATATTGACTGTAGTTTTTGTAAAGAATATCCTGAAACCATTGTGCATCTTTTCTGGTACTGTCCAAGTGTTGCATTATTTTGGCAGAAATTCTGTGACTTTTTTTTTTTTTATTCTTAATTTGAATTGGGACAGTGCACATTAATCAACATGTGTTTTTTCAACATGTAAATGCGCCGGAGTTAGCCATATAGGCTAATTTTCATCCGTAGTCCCATGGCAGGTTGATGTCAAGATAGGTAGTATAGGACATACAACAGGCACAAACATACAGCAGAAACACCATCACAGAGACATAAAAAGACAGTGAAAGAAGAATACAACATATAGTTAAAAATGCAAGGAATATATAAAAATTTGCTCAACTAAAAAATCAGAAAGGGACAATACACACAACACCATAATCTTCCACACAGCAAGACATGTATCAGTGTTTGGTGACTTTAGTCCATGTTGTGTTCACATGTCTGATTGTCCAAAAGCCACTTCTTCACAGACTTCTTCATGAAAATATTGAAACGCATTTTGTTCTACATTGGAAGAATGTATTGTTTGGTATGTTTGAATCTAACTCACAAAACAGTAACGCTATTTACTTAATTAATCTTTTATTATTGATGTCAAAGTATCATATTCATTCATGTAAATTTTCCGGGAAAAGGCCGTGTTTCTCTGCTTTTTATAACGGCTTCAAACAATACATTCTCTCAATTAAATTGTCTGAAAAACAGAAGGCAATTAAGACTGTTGAGTGCTGTACAGCGTTGAATGTCTTCATTTAAATATTGACCCCCCCTAGCGATAGATTATGCTTATGTTTTTCTTTTCTTTTTTTCTCTGTTATTTATTTTTCCTTTTTAGGCCCGAGCCCCAACCGGGGTAAGGGCCTATTGCTTTTCCAACGAGTAATGCCTGGGCGAAGCCCAGGCATTACTCGTTGAACTGTTTTAAGTCACAATCTCCGGGCGCAGCCCGGAGATTGTGACCTGCACGCGACGGCACGTGCCCAAGCACTGATAAATCCGTGCCGGAGGCACGGAATGGCTTTGTTCCTGCTGTAGTACACAGTGAAATGATTGAAGTCCTATTAAAGGGGGGTTCCTTCAACTGTTTTACGGACGAATGTCCGGGCACTGAATGGCTTGTGATAGATTGTGACCTGCACGCGACGGCACGTGCCCAAGCACTGATAAATCCGTGCCGGAGGCACTGAATGGCTTTGCTCCTGCTGTAGTACACACTGTAATCAATGGGGTCCTATGGGGGGGGTGGGTGACCTCATGATGGCGAGGTGATTGACGAGCGCGTCAGCGCTCGTCAATCACCGAGAACCCAATAGTTGCGTTCGTCTGGTCGTTCGCTTTAAAACGACGTATCATTTGTATTATAGGTTACTATGGAAACCTATATTGTTTTTGCTCGAAGTTTAAAAAAAAAAATTCCTTGGTTTATTTATTATTTCTTTTTTCTTCTGCGCTTTGAACCTTAATTTGACCCCCTGAACATTGATGAAAAGTTGTGAAATTTTGCCCAAAATTCAGAACCGGTGAAAAATTATTTTTTTTGGTGTTTATTTTTATGGGACTAAAAAAATGTCAGAATAGCGCCCCCTACAAAAGTCAGTTTACATTGCGCCTATGGGAGGGGGTCGAAGGTCAAGTTTGTCGTAGAGCCACGAAATTCGGTACACATATTCCTCAGGCCAAGACATGAAAAAAAAGTTATTATGGCTCCGCCCCCTGACAAACAGGGAGCTCATTAATTTAATTGGAAAATGGAAAAATGAAAATTGATCTTTTTCACACATGTCGGCTGGAAATTATCTCCTCCTCGGCCGCTTCACCGATTTGTCCCAAAATCGCTCCACATGGTCTAAACCCATGTCCCATCTATTATTGAATATAGAATTTGGATCAGTTAAACGTTGTCCGAGCAGCGGAGCGGCAAAATGTGACATTTTTTTCCCAATTTTTGACAAAAGTAAATTTGCTCCCATTTGCACAAAAATAGTCCGATTTGCACAAAATTTTAATCCATTGTTCAGCTCCAAGGTCTAGGTCATCTGAAAGTGGAAATATTGAAATTGGCTCATGAGCGCCCCCTACAGACTATGTCAAAGTTTTACATGGGCCTAAAAAAATTTAGTTTTTTCAAAATGTTTGAAATTTTGCACATAATTCTGTTTTGTCATCTGGATTCAAAAAGTCAATTAAATCATATGGTTATTTTTTACCCTTTTGCCGTGGCGATGACCAACACTCCCCTGTCTGTGTCTATGAGAAAATTGTTAAATCTCTGAAAAGTACACCTCGCTCAAACATCAAACCAGCCACGGCCGTTTCACTAATTTCTCTGAAAATCATTCCACATGGTCTCCACACATGGACCATCAATAGTTGCATATAGAGTTTTAATTAGTCAAACGGTCTCAGCGTGACAGACCCCCAAAGTGGGGTTATTTTCATAGAGAGGTGTGAAGTTCCCATGTTATCCAATGGAGACTGTATGGACACACTCACAGATTGTATGTGCAAACAGGAGCACATTAGCACTAAACTTGACTCTATTGTTCAACTCCTGGGCCTAGGTCACATGACAGTGGGAACAATAACATTGGCCCATTAGCGCCCCCTACAGGCTGACTAAAGGTATACATGGGGATACAGGAATTTAGGTTTTGTGTTGTTTGATCTCATATTTGACCCACTGAACAAACACGAAAACTCACCAAACTTTGCCACAAGTTTTTTTCAGGCATAAAGTGTATTATTTTGGTGTTCATTGGTGCAACACTAAAAAATTTAAATTGTAGGGGGCGCTATTGTACAACATTAAATAACACCATTTGCACATAAAAACTCCGATTTGCACAACATTTGTTTTGACAGTCCAACTCTTGGGTTTGAGTAAACTGAAAGTGTGAATCATGAAATATCAGCATTAGCGCCCCCTACAGACTGATTCAAGTGTTACATGGGGAAAATGAGGTATATCTTTTGAATAGAGAAACACAATCACTAATCATAGAAAGTAAAATTACACAGTGTCGCTCCCATCAGGGGGGTAGGAAAATGGCGCGTCAGCGCCACCTCCTTTGCGCGGTGCGGCGAGGGCCGTTAGATGCCGCTTGCGGCTTTAATTAGGCCCGAGCCCCAACCGGGGTAAGGGCCTATTGCTTTTCCAACGAGTAATGCCTGGGCGAAGCCCAGGCATTACTCGTTGAACTGCGTTGAACTCGTTGAACTGCGTTGAACTCGTTGAACTGCAGCCCGGAGATTGTGACCTGCACGCGACGGCACGTGCCCAAGCACTGATAAATCCGTGCCGGAGGCACGGAATGGCTTTGTTCCTGCTGTAGTACACAGTGAAATGATTGAAGTCCTATTAAAGGGGGGTTCCTTCAACTGTCTTACGGACGAATGTCCGGGCGAAGCCCGGACATTCGTCCCCCAAGCCCGACGGGGCGTGCCCAGACACTGACAAAACAGTGCCGGAGGCACTGAATGGCTTTGCTCCTGCTGTAGTACACAGTGTAATCAATGGGGTCCTATGGGGGGGGTGGGTGACCTCATGATGGCGAGGTGATTGACGAGCGCGTCAGCGCTCGTCAATCACCGAGAACCCAATAGTTGCGTTCGTCTGGTCGTTCGCTTTAAAACGACGTATCATTTGTATTATAGGTTACTATGGAAACCTATATTGTTTTTGCTCGAAGATTTACAAAAAAAATTCCTTGGTTTGGTTTATTTATTATTTCTTTTTTCTTCTGCACTTTGAACCTTAATTTGACCCCCTGAACATTGATGAAAAGTTGTGAAATTTTGCCCAAAATTCAGAACCGGTGAAAAATTAATTTTTTTGGTGTTTATTTTTATGGGACTAAAAAAATACCAGAACAGCGCCCCCTACAAAAGTCAGTTTACATTGCGCCTATGGGAGGGGGTCGAAGGTCAAGTTTGTCGTAGAGCCACGAAATTCGGTACACATGTTCCTCAGGCCAAGACATGAAAAAAAAGTTATTATGACTCCGCCCCCTGACAAACAGGAAGCTCATTAATTTAATTGGAAAAATGAAAAATGAAAATTGATATTTTTCACACATGTCGGCTGGAAATTATCTCCTCCTCGGCCGCTTCACAGATTTGTCTCAAAATCGCTCCACATGGTCTAAACCCATGTCCCATCTATTATTGAATATAGAATTTGGATCAGTTAAACGTTGTCCGAGCAGCGGAGCGGCAAAATGTGACATGTTTTTTCCAATTTTTGACAAAAGTAAATTTGCTCCCATTTGCACAAAAAAAGTCAGATTTGCACCAAATTTTTCTGTCAACTGTCAACATTGATTTAATAAAAAAAAAAACTGGTCTGTCGGGTTGATAATTGAAATGATACATTTAATTTAATACATGTATCGTACTGTATTTAATATGATTAACAATAGTGTGTTCAAACGAAATATTTAATTAGATCGATTTTTTTACCCCATTTTCCATTAAACTTTGCACGAAACTTTGACTCTTAAAACCCACATGTGACAAAACGGAACCATCAACATCTCGCCTCAAATTGCATTAAAAGTGACATTCGTGTCTTAATTCGTTCGTATTTTAACTTTTAAAGATATTCACGGTCCGCCATCTTGGTATGCTTCGGTTGCCGTGAGACGCGCATGCGCAGGTTTGCATTACATCATAAACAGCTGAGGAAGTGCATCTCTTCAAGGAAGTGTATCTCGGCGTTACACCTGTACTAAGGACAGTGACAATCTAGGACATTTATAAACATTTCTGGACAGTGGTCATCCCACTCCCTACGAACCGATGGCTCCTCCTACTGTATGTGTTTGATTCTCTGATCTGTTGGTGGAAATTCAACAAATTTGTTAAGTCCTCAGTGATAAGTGCTGTTGTGATTTAGGGAGATACACATATACATTTAAATTAAAACTGAATGGTAGGGACAAAAGCTATATCTACTTTGCAAGTTGCGTCCACATCGAGGTAAAGTGAAAGTATGTCTAACAAACCTCAAAAGCACAAATAAATTAATAATTAATTTGTATTACACACATAACCATAGATCCACATCTTAAATCGGTTTTACACAAGGTAAGTACTCACAGGCTGAAGCTCAGGTTGTGCTGAAATGGACTGAAAATGCTCTGAGGTTTTCCCCGTCTCTATAACCCTTATGCTCACTGGTTTGTTGATATATACGGAACTCTGGATCAAACCGGTTCTACACCTGCATTCCATCAAGGTGTTTCCCGTCAAAGGCTAGGTAGCTATTATGGTAAATGCAGATCACAATTTGTCTTTTTTGTATCCTAGACCTGCAGGGGTTTTACAACCTGTCTAAAAACATTGTCTGGGGGTCATGGTTTGGAGAGAGACCCCAGAGAGATAGAGAGATATCAGAGAGAGAGACCAGAAAGAGACCAGAGGAATAGACCAAAGAGAGAGAAAACAGAGAGAGATCAGAGGGAGACCTGAGCGAGTAACCAGGGAACGGGATCATAGAGAAATCAAAGTGAGAGGCCAGAGAGAGAGACCAACAGAGAGAGGAAGACAACATATAGAATATGGGATGCATTACTGTAACAGAAAATGGAGACAAAATAAATATACAGTAGGTGTTAAATATACATAAGGTGGAGAAGCAGCGGCTCTACTCCAAGCTCCTCAGCTATTCTATAAGGGAGCACACAGGCACTGAGGGAGGAAACTTAGAGCTCTGACGGCAGACACTGATCTCTCTTCACCACAACAGTCCAATACAGCGACCACATCAAACATGATTCCTAAAAATCACACATGCTCCCACTTGCAGACAACATTGGGGACATTAGAAAAAAAAAAAGAATTTCACATGGCTATTTTTTTGTGTGTCTTATCCTTTTTCAATACAACTGAAACATTTGTGACAAATCTATGACCAAGAATGTTTGATTTAACTGGAAGTGGGATTATTGAAATTTACGTTTTACCAGAGTTTGATGGTTGTATAAACAAGATCAAGATAAGATAAAAATGTATTGATGTCACATTTTGCATGAATAGGATCACTCAAAAGACAGGAAATGTGCAAACGTGTGAAAAAAGGATATTATCTTTTCAGCACCAAAGATATAATAAAGGTATTTTATGTACAATTAATAATAAATCCAAATATTCCAGTCCCATCACATTGGATCTTTATTACAAGACAACTTGTTGTTTTTCCCCAACAGAAAAAGTATTGTAAAGGTAAAATATTGTGAACATATGAGATAAGATCATTCTTCAGAACATGTTTATCACCTATGAGCTAAAGATGTGTCAAAGGACTTTCTCTGGTCTCTCCCCGGTCTCTCTCTGATTGGCTGAGCCAGGGTGGTCCTCTCTTTTTCACTTTTCTGTATGAAAAGCTGATCTAAAGTTATGACAGAGGCCCTAAATACAGGTATGTGAAAACAAGTGATAGAACCCAACTGTTTCAGAGGCATGGTAGTATAGCCCTAAATCTGTTGAGTACAGCTCCAATACCTGGATGTTGTGATTTACAGACAGTCCCCAGTTTGTGAGAACCAGGGACTTTGTGTCGGAGGTCCTGACCTGCAGTGTGGGGGCCCCCCAGGGAACTGTCCTCGCGCCGGTCCTCTTCACCCTCTACACTGCGGACTTCAGACACAACATGGACGGTTGTGTTCTACAGAAGTTCTCTGACGACTCTGCCATCATCGGACTCAGCTCCGAGGACGATGGCACAGAGTACAGAGGAGTTATACAGGACTTTGTGGACTGGTGTCAGCGGAACCACCTCCTCATCAACGCGGGGAAGACCAAAGAGATGGTGGTGGATTTCCACAGACGTCACTCTGCCGCTCCAGCTCCAGTGAACATCCAGGGAAAGGACATCGAGAGAGTGAACTCTTACAAGTACCTGGGTGTTCATCTTAACCACAGACTGGACTGGACTCATAACTCGGATGCCCTCTTCAAGAAGGGCCAGAGTCGCCTCTACCTACTGAGGAGGCTTAGGTCTTTTGGAGTGCAGGGGCCACTCCTGAAGACCTTCTATGACTCTGTGGTGGCATCAGCCATCTTGTACGGTGTGGTCTGCTGGAGCAGCAGCATCACAGAAAGGGACAGGAAGAAGCTGGACAAGGTCATCAGGAAGTCCAGCTCTGTCCTGGGCTGTTCCCTGGACACAGTGCAGCAGGTGGGGGACAGGAGGGTCTTGAGCAAACTAACATCTATGCTGGACCATGACTGTCACCCCCTGCAGGACACTCTCTCTGCTCTGGAGAGCAGCTTCAGTGACAGACTAATTCACCCTCGCTGTGTGAAGGAGAGGTTCCGTAGGTCTTTCCTTCCTGCTGCTGTCAGACTGTACAATAAGAACTGCTGAGCCTGTAAATTTCATTCATCTGTAATTAAGTAAATTCTTAAATCATGTGCAATGTGCAATACTGCAACTTCAGAATGTCACAGAACAATGTCACTTTACCTCATGTCACTTTACTTATATACTTTTTATCCTGCACTATTTAACTGTACAGTATATAACTGCACTACTACATATATATATTTTGACTGGTATTGAAGCATTTTCAGCATCTACAGCTAGTTATGTTAGTTAAGAAACATAGTTACTACGTATTTGTATATAGTGTATATATTGTGTGTGCTCCCTGTGTGCTCTTACTACTGTCCTATATGTGCGATGCAACATCGAAATTTCCCCACTGTGGGACGAATAAAGGAATTCTTATCTTATCTTATCTTAGGGCTATACAAGAATAAATTGTATTGTATTGTAAATTACATAATTCAGATTAAAACATATATTTGTAGAAGCGCATACTTAAACTATTATGAAATTATATGTGTTATCATGTTTTCATTTGATCAAATAGATGACTCCAGATCTTAATAATCTTAATATAATAGATCCATGCTCCAGATACATAATAAAAAATCAGAGGGCCCCGGTTTGAACGCCTGACCACACGGGGGCAGCAATGCACCACAGAACCACACCGCGTCATGTTAGCATTTAGCAGTTAGCCCCCGTTAGCCATGTAGCAGCCCACAACACTGCGCTCTGATTACGGGGAAATACAACAAAAAATCCCGTTTCAATCCACACTAGGGAATCAGACAGACGCGGAAAATAAAGCCTGAAGGTGGGTGACGGTCTGTTATTGCGAAACTCGTCTTGTTTATCCAAATAACACGAGAAGCCTCTGATGCTAACGAGGCTAATGCTAACTGTTTACGAATTTGAAGGTGATATTCTGCCAGTTAAATAAAACAAGTCCTATTTTGGTCTTTATATATTTACTCACTGTCAATAGACACATGAATGACTACAATCATGTCAAGGTATATTTGCTGGTTGTGGCATTTTTCCGTGTTTGTATTAGCATTTAGCGTTAGCTGCTACATGTAAACAAAGCCACAGCACCAGGCTGGTCCATGACTTATACACATACTTATCCATTGCCTTGCCTATGTCGAGTGATATAATCATAAAATCAGTTTGTTTGAATTGGAGGCAAACTCATAGAGCAATTGTTTTTAATCGATTAATACATTAGTCATTTAACATAATTAGTCTTTCTGAACATGTGACTAATGCCTGGTCAAACCAGGATAACCTGTTTTGCTTATTTAAAATAACATAAGATTGACTTTATTGATCTCCCACTGGAGAAATGTACATGTCACATTTGGCATGGATAGAATCACTCAGAGTTGTGCAAAAGACAGAAGTGTGCAAACATGTTAAAGGTTAAAAAAATGTAGTCTGTGCAGGAGTGGCAATAGCAGTGCAGGTTTTTTTTCAGTCCTAGTGCATCAGTAACTTAAAGTGACTTATTGTACAGTCTGACAGCAGTGAGGATAAAGGCCCTACGGTAGCGCTCCTTCTTGCACTTTGGATGCCTCAGTCTTCCACTGAAGGAGCTCCTCTACAGTCCTGTGCAGTGAGTGGGAGGTGTCTATGATGGAGGTGACTTTGACTAGCACCCTCCTGTCCCTCACCTCCTCCACAGAGTCCAGGGGGCAGCCCAGAGTGGAGCTGGCCCTCCTGACCAGCTTGTTCAGTCTACTCCTGTCCCGCTCTGTGCTGTCCAGGGCCCAGCACACGGCAGCGTAGTGTATGCCAGAGCTACCACAGAGTCATAAAAAGTCTTGAGCAGAGGCCTCAGAAGGAAGAGGCGACTTTGGCCCTTCTTGTACAGGGCGTTGGTGTTATGGGACCAACACCAGCTCAATGTCCTCCCCCTGGATGTTCAGCAGCGTGTGGGAAAGTAGTTTTCTCCTGAAGTCGATTACCATCTCCTTGGTCTTACTGGTGTTCAAGCACAAGTGGTTGCGCTCACACCAGTCGACAAAGTCCGTGATAACTGACGGATATTCCGGACACACAGCCCACGATGGCGGAGTCGTGGGAGAACTTCTGCAGGTGACAGCTGTGTGTGTCGTGTGTGAAGTCTGAAGTGTAGATGGTGAAGAGAAACCGTGAGAAGACAGTGCCCTGAGGGGCCCCGTGCTGCAGACTACCACCTCAAACTGAGATGCGGCTGCGCAGCTGCACGTACTGTGGTTGGTCCGAGTACTGTAGTCGATGCGATGGTCCATGCAGTGAGGTTACTGTCCACTCCGCATCTGTGATAGGCTGAAACAATGTAGTGTGATTCTGGAGTGATCAATTTATGCTATTGATTATTGATGTGTATATACTATTATTATTATCATTATTTTAAATGTATCTTCCTTACGTCTAACTATTACTCAACCTGTTGTTTCTGGCTTAAGTAGTTGGTTGAAACCTGTACTTATTTTCCTATTGGAGTCACACAAAGTTCTGTTGAAAGGCTATACTCAACTTTTTTGAAAAAGTTCAGATTACATCTAGTATTGATGCAACAAATATGTTGCATCACATTTTATCATAATACTTTTGACAATATCTGCTATTAATAGAAATAAGATTTGTACAAACGATGCTCTGCTAAAACATTACTACTATACTGAGCTTGGATCTGACAAAGATTTATTTTATTAAACCATTAACCACACAAAAATGGGAGAGATTCAAGAGAGACCAGAAAGACCAGTGAAAAAGAAAGAGACCAGATAGAGAAAGGGAGACCAGAGAGACTGAGAGGGACCAGAGAAAGAGTGGCCTGGTCCTTTAGCATGATGAACATGGTGTTTTTGGTCTTGATAATCATACTCTCTCTGATGGTGCTCCCCTGTGGTCTCTCAGATGCAGGCCGGTGACCCCGCGGTGGCAGCGGCTCTGGCCGGAGCACAGAGCCGGTCGGAGGATGAAGACTCGCTCGTGGTCAAAGAGCTGAAGCGGTCGTCCACTCAGGCGTTCGGAGGAATGGAGCCCAAACGCAGAAGCTCCTCCAGGTTCTGAACTGTTTTTAGCTGCATCCAGGCTGATATCAGGATTGGAATCTCTAGCACAAACACGTCCCTCCCACCCCTCTCCCCTCGCTCTTAAACTGGTTATTCTATGATAAATACTGCCTCTTGTTGTAGTTGCTCTAGTCAAATTACAGTTTACACCTGCGTGCCTTGAAAGAATGAGATCGATATTTATATTGAGTTTCAATATTTTATTCTTAGCCAACTTGAGAGGGTCTAACCGGTGATTGTAACATAGCCTGTAGATAGATCGACAATGCTTACCTGCTTGTTCAATGAACCCCAATAGGGAAGTGCTTATTAACAAAGTTTTGCTCCAGCTCACTCCGGCTCCTATCGATTTAAATGTAAAAGTAAACTCCTCTCGCTCAGTAACCATTTGTGCCACTCTCACCATTTTAGGCTTTAATAATCTGTGATCACGGTTAAAATTCTCCAGCTAGCTTATGTTCAAATCGGCCTCTACCGCTAACACTATGGTGATGTCACATTTCGTCAGTCCCCTCCTGATATATACACTCTAGGGTTTGTGACTTGTGTGGTGTGTGTGGTCAGGTCGATAAAGAGGAAGAAGTTTGACGATGAGCTGGTGGAGAGCAGCTTGGTGAAGTCCTCGACTCGAGTGAAGGGTCCTCCGCTCATGGAGCCGCTGAGGTGTCCGGGGAGCGAGGCCTCGGCTGCGGACCGGAGGAAGGTGAGGGCCTCAGCTGCTACAGACGTTGGAACAGGTTACAACATCAAACACGAGCTATAGTCATTTTCTACCTTTACTTTATTGAGGTAGCAACTTTTCTTCTGTCAGATTACATATAATTCTGATACAATTAAGGAAAAAGCACAAATCGTCACATAGAACTAACACCAAAATCACCATTAAAAACACAATTACAATCACACAAGTAATTAGAACCATTAAAACGTTAAAAACACACAACTAGTGTTGTTAAGACCTTTTTAAAACATGAAATGAACACTAGAACTGTTTTTTTTTTGTCTCTCGGTCTCAGCTGCCAAAGCCCGGCTCCTCTCTCACGCCTCCTCTCACCATGATGCTGAACCCGCCGATGGCCAAGCGAGTGAAGAAGAGCAAACAGCCGCTGCACGTGACCAAAGACCTGGGACGATGGAAGCCCTCGGACGACCTGCTGCTGATCAACGCTGTGCTGCAGGTGACTGTCACTTTAACAAAGAGAGGGACCAGAGGGTATGAGAGGCCAGGTGTAATAAGCCGATGTGTGTGTCCTGTGTGTTTGTTGCAGACCACAGACCTGACGCTGGTTCATTTAGGCGTCAAGTTCAGCTGCAGGTTCACTCTGAGAGAAATAAAGGAGCGATGGTACTCCCTGCTCTACGACCCGGTCATCTCCAAGTAAGACCGACCTCACGTCTGTAACATCACCATCCACTGTCTTAACCCCTGTGTTCCCTGCTCTCAGACTGGCCTGGCAGGCGATGAGACAGCTCCACCCAGAGGCCATTGCTGCCATCCAGAGTAAAGCCCTGTTCAGCCAGAGTGAGGAGGCCCTGCTCTCCAAGATCCCCTCAGTAAGTCCAGCTTCAGACCCAAAACCAGACCACCTCAGCATCATGAGGCCTGTCACATTGTAGAAACCTTGATACCTTGTTGTTATTCTTTCTCTGTTTCCACCAGTCTTTCCTCTTTCCTACCGTACCCTACCGTACCCTACCGTACCCTACCGTACCCTACCGTACCCTACCGTACTCTACCCTGATGGGGAGTATTTCCACTTTAACCGGTACCAGGTCCTTCATCCTCTTGGCCCTGGTTTTATCCAGGCCAAGCTGGTACTAAAGTGATCTAACTGACCGTGATTGGCCAGAAGGCTGCTGGGAGCCATGGTTACCAAGGAATTTCTCAGAGTATTGGTTTGTTGTGTGTAAGTTGCTAGGATCCAGTACGAGATACTAGAGCAGAGCAAGAACCATGAACCATAGACCGTTTGACCCAAACTGGACGTGTTTAAGCGCTCTCGTGTTTCTCTGTCTCCCTCAGAGCACTCAGCCCAAACTGGACGTGTTCCAGGACCTGCTGCACAAACAGTCGTCCGTCTTCCACCCGTCGCGCTCCGCTAAGAGTCTGCTGGTGCACTGGCAGCTGTTGAAGCAGTACTACCTGCTGGACGACCAGAGCGGTGCGTACCAACAACACTACAGTTATACAGTCACCAGGACTTTAAAACGCTGCCACATCCAACACACACTTTAAAAGGCTCTCACCTTAAAAAGATTCTGGAAAATTCTGAGAAATACCGGGAAAGATAATTAGATTTTTTTTCGAAAAATAAGGAAAAAAAAACAATAAATATTCCAAAAATCTTAACCTTGGAAAACCTGTAGTAAGAGGGTTTTATGAATCTGCCTTTAGTAGTATTTCTAATTATTGTGTTTTAGAATGTGAAATACTTCCTACAGATCATGGTTGAGATCAATGAGCCTAAATATTCCATAATCTGTTCTGTCATCTCCACATGAGGAAACATCTTTTTGTACAGTTCAACCGCTGCCCAAAGGAGACCAGGTCCTGAACTTCTCTGACGCAGAACAGATGATCGACGACGTCAAGTTAAAGTAAGAAGAGCGTTCAAAATGAGCCACTCTTCTGAGATAAAGCAGCGATGTCAAACTCATTTTGGCCTAAGTGTTATGAACTAATCTTTATATGTTTTACATGATATTTATATGTTTTACAAGGTATTCATACAAAAAATATTACTTTAATGTAACATGAGTTTGTAGATGAATTTAATTAATTTCCAAACTGTGATTAATTAATTTATAAATATGTGTTGCGTTCTGATTTTATAATAACATTATAATGCATTATATGGGGAATATGCATTATATATTGGGAACATTTGCGTCAATGAGGTATAACAGCCATGGAAGCTCATATTAAGCTTATCGTCAATGCTGCAAGGTAATAATCCATTCATCCATTTATAGCCCCTAATACACCACTGTCGCCCTGGTTAGGTAATGGTAATTATTTTAAATCATTTCAAGGGCCACTGAGAATGGTCTGGCGGACCTCATGTGGGCCAAGGGTCTCAACAGTTTGGTTCGAGAATGAGGCTGAAACATGTCAATATCAGTGGCGGCTGGTGGAATTTTCTACTGGGGGGGCTATGAATATGATGACTAGATATATACCAGCAGTAAGTAAGTTTACACTGACTGTTGTGACTGAAGCCTCACACGAGAATCAACAAGGTCACATGATCAGGATCGCAGGGCAAGTTCAAATGCACCACAGAATTTGACACAGTCTATTATTTTTGATAGGATGTGCCTATTCTTGTCAACCTCCTCATTGTGCTTTCTGATCCCTACCCTGTAGCTTTCATCCAGCTGGGATGAAATATTTATCTTCCCAAACATAGCTAATTTGAGGGCATTTTGCATGTGGATACCAGTCTGCTCATGCTTCTTTGCCTTTTCTAAAAAGTGCTTCAGATCAGTCATACCTGTCTTGATCCATGCTGGGTCAGATCCTGATGTTTGAAACAAGAGGCATGGAAAGCAAAATAAAGCATTAGCCTCACTACATGCTGCAAGCCAAGATTTGGCGCTGAACCAGGTCCTGGAAAAAGTACGAGTGTACCGTCTCCCCCTGTCGCTGGACTGCTGACTAATGGTAATATTTGGCTGATCAGGTCCAAGCTCTTTAACCTCAACCTTCTCCTGGTATGATCTTCTCTCAAACGGTATTGTTTTGAGTGATCTAACTGAATTATTCTTTTTTTCGTTCTCCATTTTGCGTCTCTTTACGTTCGTCTCAAACTCCCACAGCTTGACCTGTCAATCACTGTAAACGGACGTCACAGACAGTGACAGTACAGGTCGCGGGCGATCCCGCCCCCTCAGGGCGCACTTCTCCTGCGCCCCCAAATCGTCTTATCTCTTGCATTGAAGAGGAGCTACTGCGCATGTACAACTTTTAACGAGAGTCCATAGACGCCTCAGGGCGCAATCTTTTGCGCCCTGAGGCGGAAATACGTCCTCAGTCCGACACAGACAACGCTGATGAGCTTAATCAATCCAACTCAGCATAAACTATAAAGTATTTCTTCCACATCTGAAATAAAACACACATAAATTTCGAAATATTTTAATGTTATTATTTTTTTTAACGTTTTATTCAAGGTAACATGGCAAGTTGTGAGTGGTGGGGCGGCGCCCTAGCGCCCTCTATTGGCCGGCCGCCACTGGTCAATATTCATGATTATTTCAGACTCAAATTCAAGTAGTCCATAAGTTTAACACGGCTGCAATCAGCTATTAAAAAATGGATTCGGCCAATCAGCCGACAAATAATGCCCCATTCTATTATTATCCTTATCATGATCAAACTCAAATACACTCAGGACCATTCCCCATGTGAGCACAGTGTGGGATTCATTTAAATCCAACCATCCACAGCAGCTCTGAGACCTGTGGTGATCCTACTGTTTCCTTCGGCTGTAAAATGATAGTGACCCCGGACCTGCAGTAATGAGTGTGTGACGTGATTGTCTCATGTATTTGTTGTGTGAGAAATCGCTCGATGGATAATTCTGACTGTGTGTCGTTCACAGAGAGGGGCGGGACGAGGCGCTGGAGCACGGTGAGTTTAGCATGTGACGCTTTCATCCTGAGAAACATACGTGTTTCCACCAACTCTGCCCTGCTCTACTCTCCCTGCTTGTGTTTCCATTTAGTATCTGCAACCTACACACACAACGATTCAGTGTTCATGGAGATGCCTTGGTCAGTTAGAACACTTTAGGACAAGCTTGGCCTGGATAGAACCAGGGACAAGAGACTGAAGGACGAGAAGTAATAATGGACAAAGTTTCACTCTACCTTACTATATATTTATTATTTCGAGGGCATCCTTTTCATCCGTTTCCTCTGCCTAACAGTTACAAAACAAAGGACAGACAGGACCATAAGCACATAACAGTACATCTTAAACCCTTGTCTCTTTCTGCTCTAACTTTGGTTACAGTTATTCAATAATTTAAGCATAATACACATACATTTTATCTTGTACAATTGGTGGTTTAACACTGTGTTACCGTTTATTATCCTTATAGCTCCCTAATGCACACGGTGTCTTGAGATGTGTAACTAACAAAACGGAACAAATGCCCATATAAGGAAATTGGCTCCAGCTTTTCTCAAATCTGCCTCTTCCTCATTAAAGCTAACACTACAGTGATTTCACTCTGTCCTGATGTCCACTCCTAATGTGCGCTCTGTGGTGTTACATCTGTGTTTAGAGCTCATGGTTTCAGACCGGCATCAAAAAAGAGAGATTCGACAGCTGGAACAGGAGCTGCCGCGGTGGCAAGTCCTGGTGGACAACATCACAGGTGAGATGGCATCGAAATATTGGGAAATACTGGAACATCCTCAAAAGATACTGGAAAAATCTTAATCTTTGGACCTCATTGTAAGAAGAGGTTTACTCCAGAATGACATGGAATTGTTTTAAAGGTTTCTCTGAACAAATAAGGCGAGAAATCATCCTAACCAGCCTCTAAATACAGCCGGTTGGAAAATACAAGTCCTGTAGAATAAATAATACCAGGTCTGCATGATCAGTTCTCCATCTCTCGCCTTCTCTGTAGGGATGAGCATGCCGGATTTCGATAACCAGACGTTGGCCGCGTTACGAGGACGAATGGTGCGGTACCTCATGAGATCCAGAGAGGTGAGGTCATGTCCCGTGTGAGGTCATCCAGGCTTCAAAAGGAAACACGTTCTAGAATAGACTAAACTTTATTGTCATCAAGGGGCTTTTTTGTCTGGGACACAATGCAGTTGCTTAAACAATAAAGACTCCACCTCACGCCGTCTCTGCTCGTCCCACACCCACTGCCCCCACCAGCCCAGGTCTAAACTCTCCACCCCTCCACGCCTCTGGAACACCTGCTCAGAAACTTGATGTATACTGGTGCCTCTAACCCTCTTCTGGATGTGTACTGGTTAGAGGCACCAGTATACATCAAGAAGAAGGTTAGAGGCACCAGTATACATCAAGAAGAAGGTTAGAGGCACCAGTATACATCAAGAAGAGGGTTAGAGGCACCAGTATACATCAAGAAGAGGGTTAGAGGCACCAGTATACATCAAGAAGAGGGTTAGAGGCACCAGTATACATCAAGAAGAGCTGTTACAAAGAGCTAAGAAAAGCATTGAACGACTCAACCTAAATAAAGAGGTTTGAGGTCTGGATCCACTGTACGCCGGGTTTGTGGAAAGATGGGTTTGTGTATCAGCAGAAAGTGATCGAGATGATGAAGCGAGAGGATGCTGTGGTGGTCAGAGGGCAGAGGTGGTAACCTGTGATATTTTGCAGATTACTCTGGGACGAGCCACGAAAGACAAACAGATCGACGTGGATCTGTCCCTTGAGGGTCCGGCCTGGAAGATCTCCAGGAGACAAGGTCAGCTAAAGTCCAGGACAAAGGCACAAACATGGCATCATCAGTCGGTCCTTCTCCCACAACACACAGGAACTCGGACTCAGAACTTCAAATCACTCAAAACCCGTCTTAGCTGTTTGTTTTACTTTTTAGTTGTTTCTTATTTAAGCCATTGTAAACAAATGCCCATATAAGGAAATTGGCTCCAGCTAGTTTATGTTCAAATTTGCCCCTTCCGCATCAACACTATGGTGATGTCACACACTGTGAGTCCACTCCTAATACACGTTCTATGCTCTACCGTCATATCGATGCAGAGTTCCTCTATAATTGGAACAACTGATTTTTCAGGAGTCATTAAACTGAAGAACAACGGGGATTTCTTTATCGTGAATGAAGGACGGCGGCCGATCTACATCGACGGGCGACCGGTTTTACCCGGAAACAAGTGGAAACTCAACAACAACTCAGTGGTCGAGGTATTTAGACCAAGTTCACCGGGACCACACGGACTCTACGCTACGCTACACTACACTACACTACACTACACTACACTACTCTACTCTACGCTACTCTACTCTACTCTATGCTACGCTACGCTACTCTACGCTACGCTACTCTACTCTACGCTACGCTACGCTACGCTACGCTACGCTACGCTACGCTACTCTACTCTACTCTACTCTACTCTACTCTACTCTACTCTACTCTACTCTACTCAATGCTACTCTACTCTACTCTACCTGGTTATTTCCATTACACTTTTGCATATGGTACCGTATCTTAGCAACCTACTCAAAACAAACGTCTTCCATTATCTGTGGAAATTCCTTGGTAACCATGGCTTCCAGCAGCGCTCTGGCCAATCACTGTCAGTTAGAGTTAGAACACTTTTGTACTAGCTCGACCTGGATAGAACCAGGGCCAAGAGGGACTAGGGAAGGAGTAGAGTGGACTTGATGTATTCTTGAGATTCTTAGCTTTGAAATGCTGTATTTGGTGATAATAATTGTAAACTCATATTTGTTTATTTTGTGCTCTCTTCCAGATTGCTGGTCTACGGTTTGTTTTCTTAATAAACATGGAGCTGATTTCGCTGATCAAAGCCGAAGCTGCTAAAATGGCCCAGCAGTGACGCAAGAGTTCAGAGTTCAGATCTGTGTTTGGACATTTCTGTTGTCGTGTGTCGAAGGCTTCTGTCTGTCACTTTTTCACCTCGTTGTTTCTGTCTGTATATTCTGTAGTAAACTTTTTAAGGAAAATTAAAAAAGATGTTTCTCAAATGTGTGTATTTATCCTCGTCATGAGAAACCATGTGATCCTTTACATAGTTGTTAAAAAGAGCCTGAAAAAGCTGATCTATAGATGTGACAGAGACAGTACATGAAACTAGTGATAGAAGCAAACTGTTTTTGTTTTTTATGTGGTTGCGTGGCTGCGTTACTGCACTCGAGTCCTAGTTCTAATGGGGACTCGAGTGCAGTAGTTTGAATATACTGCAGCTGTTTTAAAGTTACTGTGGTTTGAGCGGTGACTGCAGGGCCGTCCATCACTTAATCAGCTCTGAGTTCATCTGTTCTTGCACCATACTCAAAACACTGAAATGTATTCAAGGTGTGAATGCCTTTTGTGTGAGGAGCTGTTGTCCTCAGCTTGACCCTTTGAGCAGTGTTATTCATTCACTCCATACACAGCTGTGATAAACTACTGTGGCCACAGCTGCCCAGGGACACACTCACAGAAGTGAGGCAACCAGTCTATGCCACAGTGTGCCCCGGACTCGAGGGTCCAAAGAGAGACTAGAGTGAGATAAAGAGACCAGAGGGTCCAGAGAACAACCAGAGAGCAGCTCATTGTAATGGACTGTAGGAAGTGTCTCACACATGGGGCAATACTAACATTTTCAAACATATTCTTCACAAGGAGAACTTCATAAAGGAAAGAGAAGCACATGCAACGGCCCAAACTCTGACTGGGAGAGCTTCACTCACCCAAACACAGCTCCATGGCTCGTTACGCTGTCATTATACAGAATTTTGTCTCTTGTGTGAATTGTGTGTAGTTTCAGGACCTTCTCACCCTGAGCATCGGGCAAGAAAACCCCTTTCTCTTATTGTGTCGAAATAACTATATTTGTTCGCACTCGGACAAACTAACTTGCAGAGCGTGTTAGACGGCAGTCGTTCTGAAACACCAGCCTGTGTTACTCATTGTGGAAGAGCCAAATGAAAGGTGTGTTTAAATATTGTCATAGTGTTTAAGACTACAACTCCCAAGCAGTCAATATGATGGCTTTTAATTTAAGAATAATAATGTACTTCCTAAGTTCATGCACATTTTTGAACTTGAACTTTTTCTGTTTCTGTTTTTCTACAAAATATATTTTATTTTTTGTGAGAATTTAACTCCCAGAGCAGTCATTTTGACTGTTGCTGTCTTTCAGTAAGTAAGTAAGTAAGTAAGTAAGTAAGTAATTTATATACCGCCTTTTCACTGCACATCGGAGTCTCAACGCGGTTTACAATTGTTATTTCAGTTATGTTCACCAGTTCTTGCATTTATTAAACATTAGCAAAGGACCTACTTTTACTTTTAGAAAAAAATGTGGGGGTCTCACATTTTCCATTGGGACGAATTACCAACAATTGAAAAGCAGGTACCTCAGCTTTAAAGCGGCTCCGTGCGCATGCGTCCTGGAGACATTTGCAGGCTCTGTCACTGACCGCGGACTCCTGCTTCATATCAATGTCTGGTCATACTTTAGGGACTCCTCTCTGCAGATTCTTGAGTAAGTCACTTTTTTTAAACTCTAACTTTATCACAATAACATGGCGTCACTTGAATTAATATTGAGCAGCCTTACAATCTGCTGTTTCCTGACGATACCGCTCACTATGGTCATAAATCATACCATTCTAGATCATTTTTCAACTGTAAACTTCACAATTCGTCCATTTCGAGTATGATGCCCTCGACTTCCTTTGCATTTAAGGCAATTGTATGTGTATAGCACGAAATACAGGGAAACCGCAGAATGTTTTGTCTGACATCACATGCAGTTTACGAGCTCAGGGCTAACTCCTATCTGGTTAATCTATAATGTTTATACCAGACAGTACACAGTAGCTCCTTCCTGATAACCCATGCTAACCCTAATCACACCTTTTATGCGATAAGATTGTAAACTAGTTGATATGCCACTTTTACGACACGTTGGAAAAGCCCAATGCTAATGCTACACAAACACAAGAGAAAGTGCAATGTTATCATGTTGTGTGTGGTGTTTACATGCTTCAGGCTAAATATGTTTAATAATTCTTTAAAATGTTCGTTTGGAGCGTAAACAAGCAGCGGTGCACATGGTCCTCCTCCCCGAGAAGCACTCCCCTCAAGCGGGTTGGCTGACGGCAGCTCGTCCGTGGCTCTGGAGGAGGAGGGTTATTATTATTATGACATCCAGGGTCAGATTAGTAATGTTAATGTGTTGGGCCTCTTTAAAACTCTAGATCTGCCGTAGCACAGTCGCGTTTCTGTTGTGCAATTTAAAGCTGGGGTACTTAACTTTTTACCATAAATGACAGATCTCGTTTGTTCCAATAGATTGTGGAAAACTGGGTAAGTAAAATATATGGACAAATCTTACCGCAACATGCTGTCTTTATCCTATTGAAAAACATCATCTTTTGAGTCCTGCGAGTCCTCAACCCTGGTCCCCTCTTTTTCACTTTTCTTTCTGAAAAATCTGGTCCAAAGATGAAACAAAAAAACTTTTCTATCTGAAAAAGCTGATGCAAAGATGTGACCGAGGCCAAATATACATCTCTGTGAAAACTAGTGTTAGAAGCAAACTGTAATAATAATCCATGTCACTTCCAATTATTATTTTTTTTTCAGAAAGTTATGTACCTCAGCTTAAAGGATATAGCCCTACTCTACTCTACCTGGGTGTGTTTCCATTACGCTTTAATATCTGGTACCGTATCCTAGCAACTTACCCACAACAAACCAGTCTCAGAAAGCTTAGGTTGGGTTTGAGTTGTGAAAAACTGAAGTATTGTTTACTTTGGTAGATGAGTTACTACTGCGATCACTACGCCTTTGATGGCGTTCTGTTTACTCTCAGAACAGAAGGAATTCACTAATGATACATCTGCCTTCTGTACCACTCAGACATACACATTACTGTTTACGTACTTTGTACCACGCTGGGTTTGGGAAAGTGCAGTTACAGTGTACTGTTAATCGTGAGCATTTAAAGTGGAAGTGTATTTGTTTTATCATGGGCCAAAGCTGTTATATGAATATAAATTGATTAATTGACTTTATTTGTAATTTTGTTAATTGAAGCTGAATTATAGAATCATGTGTAAATGAATTTGCATTTATTGAGAAATCAGCATTGTATCGAATTACGACCCAAAAATCAAATCAAAGCGAGGATCGTTTGGAAATCGTGACACCCCTACTGTACAGATGGGCAATCTGCCAGCTCAATTTTTGGTTTTGCTCCAACTCTCTCTGGCTCCTATTTACTTTACTTTCAAGTAAACTTAAAAGTTTACTTGAAAGTAAACTTCTTGCTCGGTAACCTTTTGTGTCACACTTATTTTGTGCATAAGACATCTGTGGTTTAGCATCCTGTGATCCTGGTGTTCATAATGTGATCTGTAACTCCAGATATGAGCCATATAACGATTGACCAATCGGATGCCTTCATTCACGAGGGTAACTCCAGCTTGTTTTAGCAAGACGTCTGCTCTTGTTACGACACAAAGCTAACGCCATCAGAGCAAATGCCCACATAAAGAAAATGGCTCCCGTTAGCTTATGTTAAAATGGGCCTCTTCTGCATTAAGGCTAACGCTATGGTGATGTCACACTCTGTTTTGATTTTCAGATAAAGCCTCAAATTGTGATTGACATGTTGCTGCTGCGTCACTGTCCTCGTCTGAGCCGCCTCTGCTACGGCTCCCACAGGTAACATGTGGGACATTTATTTATAATTATCACACAGTCAGCGAGAATTCCAGGACTCCCAGAAGAGTCAGTTACTGCTCATGTACATGTTTGGTCTTTATTATTATTTTATTTCTATGTCAGTATTTTTATGAAATCATCCGAAACCATCTACCAACGTTTTTCCACCGTTCATCTCTTCTGAACGATGGGAGGTTTTTAATGTTGTTTTCCTCTTGTCCCTTTCATCCGTGCTTATCTTCCATCTCTACTCTACTCTTCCCTCCTCAGAGCCGCCGTTCCTGCCGTCATAGCCTCGGCGCGCTTCAGCAGAGACTCTGACCAATCACACGTCAGATGGAGCCGCCGCTGGACTCACGCCACGGCCGGATTGTTAGCCGGGACCGGAGCTGTTCTGGCCTACGCACTGCACCACCACCAGGTCTGTGAAGGAACTCTACATACAAAGAAATGCAATGATTAATGACAGCAGTTGGGCAAGGCAAGTTTATTTGTATAGTACAGGTCATACACAAGGCAACTCAGTCATAACTAGGTAGAAGTCACGGTACATTAAAAAGATAAAATCCTTCTGTTTGCATTCATTAGCTTATAAATCAACTTTACCAGAACTGGTTCCCTTTTCTGGCCCTGGTCTGAACTGGGATCGGGTCAGGGACAGTTTTTGATACGAATTTCCACCATTTCTTTTGAGTGGAAAACGAAAATGCTTTTGAAATGGGAACTGGATTAGTGGAAATTGGCTAATACCAAGTCAGACCGATGGATCCCGGTTTAGACACATTTGCACGAATACAGTGATTCGGATCATATTGGGATCAACCATAGTTTCATCTTAATGTCATATCTGCCGTTTTTTATATATATTTGCGTAATGGCCATAACAAACGGACATTGCATCCCCCTTGGAGTTGATCATAAGCAACACTCCATCGACAGGTCAGAGATTGAATTTAGATCAAACTTTAACACACTAGAAGAGTGTCTCTCAGAAACAGAAAAACCCGACATTTGATGGATGACGGTCAAATTTGTGATGTTTGTGAAGTACAAGGCTTCTAAAGAACCAGAGACCTGCTCAATATACTTTTCTTGTTAAAGGTTTATTCCAAAATCAAAGAGGACAGACTTTGTTTATGCAGCATTCAGTGACGCATAAATACAATGTTAAACTTGAATCATAATACAACAACAACAAAATGGCAAACTATTGCTCTGCATATAATATATTTTATTTTTATTTTTTTTCATCCGACTAGAGTTTAGGAGCTACATCCCAAAACTAGTTCATGTTCAGCAGGGGTCCGATGTTGATAAAACACTTAGAACATCTTCAAGAAAGCAACTCATGTCTCCACAAATGTTCCAAAAATAGGCTCCTCCTGCTGCGGTGAAGCTTACTCCTCAGTCTGGAGAAGAGCCGTGACGGCTTTTTGCTTTCTGGAAGGCGCTCCGCTCAGTGTTTGTTTCACTGCAGCTGTGTCTTCCTCACGAGCATTTAGCGAAACAATGCTAACACGCAAGCTCAAAGAAGCCCAATAGGGAAGTGCTCATGGTGAAGTTTTGCTGCAACTCTCTCTTGCTCCTATTGACTTCAATTGAAAGTAGCTCTTAGCTCACTTATTTTTTGAAAATTGTCTTGATGAATGTTTTCTGTAAATACATTATGAATTGGAGAATAATTCCTCGAACAATCCACATGAAACAAACTGTCTCTTGTCTCTCTGTATGGTCTCTCTCTGGGGTCTCTCTCTCTCTCTCTCTGATGTCTTCTGTGACACCTAATCATTTTCAAACAATCTGGGAAAACAGATATTTTTTCTTTGATCAAGGTAGAGAAACTTCTTCATTCTTTGCAGGCGGAGCAGGCAGATGTGTCCCTCCCCTCTCCCCCCTCTCCTCCCCCTTCCTCTCCTTCCTCCTGGTCAGTGTTCAGCCAGGAGGAGGTCTCTCGCCATCGCTCCCTGGAGGACCGGGTGTGGGTCACATTTAAAGGAGGCGTATACGACATCACAGAGTTTGTGTCCATGCATCCTGGAGGAGACCGCATCATGCTGGCAGCAGGGGGCGCTGTGGAGCCATTCTGGGCCCTGTACGCTGTCCACAACCAGGAGCACGTGCTGGAGATGCTGGCAGAGTACAAGGCAAGTGGGTTCTCGCTGCAAAAACACAAAGAATTCTCAGCAAACTACCTAACCTCTTAACCATGTTACACTAATCCTGATCAGTCACCGACCTGGAGTGGGTTTTAGATCCAGCCACGTTAATATCAGGAACTTCTGAAGGAAATGCAGCCACTCTCCATAAAAAAAAAGATTATTAGCAGCAGTTAAGCAAGGCAAGTTTATTGTTCAGTTTGTATTGTACAGATTATACACAAGGCAACTCAAAGTTACAACAAAACAAGATGAAATCACAGTACATTAAAAAGATAAAAATCCTTCTGTTTGCATTCATTAGCCTGTCAATCAACTTTCTATTATAGCTAATATATTATATAGCTAGTACAGTTAGTTATCATAGTTTTTTTTACTATGAGAACTTCTTTTAAAAATAATTTGTTTTCTCACCAGTGCAAGTTATTTTAAATAATGAGGGGAAAAATTGCATGTTCAATACTCCTATGCACGACTTAAAAACAACTGCTCAAAAAGGCGGTTTTCTCTCCTCCAGGTCGGAGAGCTGAGAGCCGAGGACCAGAAGAAACAGAGTCTGAACCCGTCTGACCCGTTCTCCGCGGACCCCGATCGCCACCCGGTCCTGCACATCAACAACATGAAGCCGTTCAACGCAGAACCGCCGCCGCAAATCCTCACAGAGAGCTACGTCACGCCCAACGTCTTCTTCTTCAAACGCAACCATCTCCCGGTGCCGCAAGTGGATCCGGCAACTTACAAACTCCACGTGGAAATCCAGGGCCCGAGTGGCAGTGCAAGACGTGGCATAGTTTCTTTATCTCTGGACGATTTGAAAAATAAATTCCCAAAGCGCACGGTGACCGCCACGCTTCAGTGCGCGGGGAACAGGCGGTCCGACATGCACAACGCCAAACCCGTGAAGGGTTTGAACTGGGGCATCGGTGCAATCGGGAACGCGTCCTGGAGCGGCGCGAGCCTCCGGGACGTTCTCCTCGCTGCAGGCTACGCTCCCGACGATGCGCTCTGGGCGAGACACGTCCAGTTCGAAGGCCTGGACCAGGACGTAGGCGGCACGACATACGGCGCGTCCATCCCTCTCAGAAAAGCTCTGAGCGAGGACGGCGACTGCTTGCTCGCGTACGAGATGAACGGGGAGGAGCTGCCCGCAGATCACGGCTTCCCGGTGCGTGTCGTTGTCCCGGGAACGGTTGGTGCGCGTAACGTGAAGTGGTTAGGGAAGATTGTGGTGAGCGACGTGGAGAGTAGTAGCCACTGGCAACAGAACGATTACAAAGGGTTTTCACCGAGCACCGACTGGGACACGGTGGATTACAAAACCGCGCCCGCAATTCAAGAGCTGCCCATCCAGTCCGCGATCACCGTTCCAGCCGATGGCGCGAAAGTCGACCGCAGTGATGAGGAGCTCACGCTGAAGGGGTACGCGTGGAGCGGAGGCGGCAGGGAAGTGGTGCGTGTGGATGTGTCCGTAGACGGAGGGAAGACGTGGAGGATCGCCAAGCTGAAGGGGGACGAGGCCGGGTCGCCGCCGCCTGGACAGGCCTGGGCGTGGAAGCTGTGGGAGCTGACAGTGCCGTTGCCCGCTGACACGCAGCAGCTGGAGCTGGTGTGCAAGGCGGTGGACAGCAGCTACAACATGCAGCCAGACGCGGTTCTGCCCATCTGGAATCTGAGAGGAGTCCTGAGCAACGCCTGGCACCGGGTGAAGGTCACAATCAAGGACGATCAGGACGAGTGACCTTTACATGTGTCTTCAACCAACACAAACCTGGGGCCTTATTTAGAAAGTGCTCGTTCTTACTTTAGAGCATATAATAGGAGTGTGACATCACCATAGTTTTAGCCTAAATGCGGATAAAGCCAATTTGATCTTTTTCTAGTTTCTGTCTCTCAACAGGACATTTTTAAGCATTTCTCTCAAAACAGTTTATTTCCCGTAGACTTGAATTGGCTCCTGCTGTCTACATGAACATAAAGCATTGTTCTTTTTGAGCGTATCAAAAAAAAATCTGTTTATAAATGAGGCCCCTGGAGTTGTGTTTACGCTCCATTCCAGGAATTTGTACCCCTAGTCCTTCTGTTAAAATGCCGTCTTCAAACTCATTGTTATTGTTATAGGTGCTTCCAGAAATGGCCTCCTCTCTCTGGTCTCTCTCTGGTCTCTCTCTGGTCTCTCTCTGGTCTCTCTCTGGTCTCTCTCTGGTCTCTCTCTGGTCTCTCTCTGGTCTCTCTCTGGTCTCTCTCTGCTCTCTCTCTGCTCTCTCTCTGCTCTCTCTCTGCTCTCTCTCTGGTCTCTCTCTGGTCTCTCTCTGGTCTCTCTCTGGTCTCTCTCTGGTCTCTCTCTGGTCTCTCTCTGGTCTCTCTCTGCTCTCTCTGGTCTCTCTCTGGTCTCTCTCTCTGATCTCTCTCTCTCTCTGAACTGATTGTTGACTTTCAATCCTTGTGCTACCCTCTCGTCTAGAAGGCAAAATACCCTAAATTAGGGTCTAAATGACAAAGGACTGGACAAATTAGGAAAACTCATCAACATTCAGTTTGAAATTCTTTTTATTTAGATTATTTTTTTGTCACTGTGGTGGGTCAATTTGACCACCCGATGCTTGCACCAACACGTCTGAGAGGAGAGTGAGTGGGGTTCATTTGGTGTCTGTTTTTTGCCTCATTTTTGACAAAGTATTAGCAATGTTTTTGTTGCTGACGTAAAAAATTTGTATTTCCAAGGTATTCCAATGGGACACACACTTATCAGTCTTTACAGGCTTATACAATGACTGAGTGTGACATCACTTTAGGTCTTAACTTTATTGTGGAAGGGGCCAATTTGAGCATAAGCTAACTGGAGCCGTGTCCTTACAGGGACACTTGTTCCGACAGCGGTAGCTTTGCACCGACAATGTCACAATATAAACACCAGGATCACAGAGGGCACTAAACCAGATATTTTTATAAGATCAAAATGGTGAGTGACACAAACGGTTTCTGAACTAGTTTACTTTCCACTGTAAGATCATAGGAGACAAGTTAGAGTTTTATTTATTATCATCATTATTCAAATGTGTGTATTATAATAATATAACACAATTAAAATAGAAAAAAATATGCAAATTAATATTGTTTTATTAGTATTTATTTTGTATTTGAGAGGTTTGAATGCAATTAACAATAATATTTTAATCCGTGAAAGAAAGACCTGAAATGTAACTTTGCTTTAGTTCAACTCTGCTCGGCTCGGATCTGTTGTACCTGGTTGCGGTTTTTTTTACACAAACTAATATCTGGGAAAATTCCTTGGTAACCATGGCTTTCCAGCAGCACTCTAGACAATCACTGTCAGTCAGAACACTTACCAATACCAGCTCTGCCTGGATAGAACCAGGGCCCAGAGGGACTAAAGAAGGACCTGGTAATGGTTAATATAGAGTTCAGTAGAGAAGTATTTAAACATCGATTACCTCTCCCCTTTTACTCCGTTCGCTTGTTTTTGTTTGTGAATCTGTGTTCTGCAAATGAAGGGGAAAAAACATGTTTATTGCCAATTGGATATTGTGAGTTATTGGGAAAAGAACGTCAGTCTACTCCTCGTATACTCTGCATAGGAGTAACACTGGTGAATATCTCTGCTTAACAATCTTGAACAATAGGGCTATAACTGTTTGTTTTTATTTTTGGACTGAGCTTTTGTATGTTTTATGCTCTGATCGTAAAAGCTGCAGATTTTAGAATTGAATAAGTATTAAAACTAGCAACTGACCAATCTCAGTTGTAAAGGTTTATAAGGTTCTTCTAACGCTAGGATTCTCAGAACTCAAACTATGAGAACTCCCGGAGCAAAAACAGTTGAAAGGCTCACACTGACCACGCCCCCTGCGCTGTGGTCCCAAGTGTGAGCCCAGATGAAGGCCCCTCGTCTCCGTTGATGGTCCATGTGCCTCTTGTGCCAGTTGTATTTGTTTGTGGTTCCTAACGTTTTTACATTGTCCCTGTCATTGTATGATTTTATCAATAGAACATCATATATGAACATAAATGAGAACCCGTTGAATTTTGTGATCTGGTAAGAAAATCTACAATCATTCAGGCGACTTCAGCTCCAACAAATGTATGTTTTGTTGGCCGGTCTCTCATTAACGTGTATACACATTTTCCCAACAGGACTCTGCCTCTGTGCAGTGATTCTATTTGCTGTGAGAGTATTTTTGTTACTTGAATTGTTACAATTGTGGCTTCTTTGTAAAAATAAAGGAACAGGAACCAACTTTTGTGGTTTTAAATATGTATCAGCACAGTAAAACGTCATGATTGTTTTGAATTAGCTGGAAAACAGCTGCAAGTCCTAAGTAGCTCTGAAACAGTTGTTTTGTGCTTTACAGTTTTCTTTCTTTGTTCTACCTGAGATGTTGCTGTAGTACAATGTTCATGGTTTTACACTGGTCCAGACCAGAGTAGAGGATTCATGGTGCGAACCAAGTGGATCAGGTGAAAATCCCCCGAAGGAAGGCTAACTTTTTTTTAAAATGCCAATGAAGTATTTAGCATCTAACTTTGGACTAGAGCAGAGAAAATGGTCCGAACCAAGTGGCTACTCCACCTTTTGACTTGTCCTGCTCCACCCAGAGGGGACTCCATCTCTGCTGCTGAGACCTGAGGGGCTGTTGCTGCTACTGGACACCTGAATTTCTACGGGGATCAATAAAGTATGTTTCTATGAGGTTTAAACAGCATTGATTAACGGTAGCTTGCACTGGAATCCCCCCTGAAAAAGAATCACTGAAAAAATTACGTCAACATAGTTTTTCAGTCTACAGCCAAACCCCAGACATATGATACACAAACACAGACGGACAGGAAAAGACTGAATAACAATGTTACGTCAATGAGTTAATCTCAAAGGTGCTTTCCTGGTTAAATAATTCATTTTTTATTTTTATAATTTTCTGTGTCTGTGTATCATATATGTCTGGGTTTTGGCTGTAGACAGTATTTTATCAAGGCAGCAGGTGACAGCAGAGCTCTGTGGGTGTCTTGGTCAAAGATCACTGCCTGAGCACTCAGAGCAGGAGAGACAGAGGTGAAGCAGTAATGAAGTAATAAAGTCAGGGTCAGGCTACATTTGGAGGCAATTTGTCTCCAGAGCTGACACAGACCATGTGGAGGGTCAGGACAGCAGACCATGTGGAGGGTCAGAGCAGCAGACCATGTGGAGGGTCAGGACAGCAGACCATGTGGAGGGTCAGAGCAGCAGACCATGTGGAGGGTCAGGGCAGCAGACCATGTGGAGGGTCAGGACAGCAGACCATGTGGAGGGTCAGGACAGCAGACCATGTGGAGGGTCAGGACAGCAGACCATGTGGAGGGTCAGGACAGCAGACCATGTGGAGGGTCAGGACAGCAGACCATGTGGAGGGTCAGGACAGCAGATCATGTGGAGGGTCAGAGCAGCAGACCATGTGGAGAGTCAGGACAGCAGACCATGTGGAGGGTCAGAGCAGCAGACCATGTGGAGGGTCAGGACAGCAGACCATGTGGAGGGTCAGGACAGCAGACCATGTGGAGGGTCAGGACAGCAGACCATGTGGAGGGTCAGAGCAGCAGACCATGTGGAGGGTCAGGACAGCAGACCATGTGGAGGGTCAGAGCAGCAGACCATGTGGAGGGTCAGGACAGCAGACCAGCGGTGCACCTCAAAAAAGCCACGGAAAATTGGACTATTGCCAAAACTATCACTGAGTCTGCACCAGGAGCCAGCGGCAAAGTCCAGTTATGGTCACAGCGCTCGCTGGACTAAACAGAACACACACAAACGTTCGCATAAACGCACATGCATACGCGCCCAAACACACAAAGACACACAACAGTATTCTATTGCAGTTATATTATAAGTATATTGTTTGTTCACTTTGATTTATTGTCATTTATAGTGTTTATCATTGTAATTTTGTTTATCTCTGATTTACTCTTGTTGACATGAATATAGCGCCACCTAATGGATTAATACTGTCCATTCTTTCTGCCAGAGTTTGTCATGGGCTCTACTTTCAATATGTAAATGTTGACATTTTTCGGATGAGTATTTGAAATATTTGAACAACACTTTGTGGATGTGGGTGTGTGTGCCATAAAACATATTATTTTGCATCAATAACACTTTCTCATAACGTGTTGTTGCTGTTTTCTAACATGTAAGATCCTGGACATGTTTGAGGAGATGCTAAAGTTAAACTAAATAGTCGAATTAAATAGTTTTACAGTCACTTTTCTGCAGGTTCGTCTGTTTTCACAAACACCTCAGCTTTTTTTCTAAGACTCGTTTTGACTGGAGATCACAGGAGAACGAAACAAGCTAAAAACAAACTTATTTTTTCTGCTGAAAGTACAGTCCAGTCTTTCAGACTCTGGTTTCATATTTTTCATAGTCATGATAGCACACAATATTCTGAGTCTTAAAAATCAGTGAAGTCATCAAAAATGGCTGACAGTCAATGAGAACCTCTTTTTCAAGTTAGTCCTGTACAAAAATTACATGCAATTACAGATAATATAAAAGTTACATACAGATTATAAAACAGTCACGTACAAAAATTACTGATTATAAAAACAGTTACATTTCACTGAAGATGAATACAGTCAGATCATTTCCAGTATTTTTGCAACACATTCCATGTTGAAGGAGCAGCAGATACAAAAGCTTCTTTAGGAATGAAACCTCTGCCTTGTTTTTGATGAATACTAGGCTTATTA